TTTTGTGCAATAGATGAATAACAATTTATTTGTTTTAGATATTTTATGTTTAGATATTTCTATTTTGCGGGAGCAGGTCTCTAATCCACTGGCACTTGACTCGACAGTGCGTGAGCTACATTCTTTTTGCAATCTCTAGATTATAAAACACTGCATTCTGTCAGCAATGTAATGCAGCAGTAACGTCTAGAGACCTCGGCTTGTAACAATACTCTAATTACTATTTTAAAAATTATAACGCATTAAATTACTCCGTTACTAAAAAATTAATCAAATTACAGTAACGCGTTACTAAGTAATGCGTTAATGCCCAACACTGATGATGATGAAGCAGTATGTAAACATGTGCAAATTGGCTTGTATAGTACATAAAGTTTTGGTGGTGTTTGTGTCAAAGTGATAAAAGAGTTCATGTAATTTGACAGAGGTCGTCAATTAATGCATTTTGTGCCAAAGCAGTGACAAATGACTCACAGTTTAACCCACATAGACTGATGTTGTGCTCGCTGTGTGAAGAGTTTTGAAAAAGTGACACATTTCAAATATTGAGAAATATGTCCTGTGATTGTAAAAAATCAGAATCAGAAAGAGCTTTATTGCCAAGTATGTTTGCACATACAAGGAATTTGTTATAGTGTCACAAGCTTCCAGTACACGGAGACAACAACAACACACAGATAATAAAAATAAGATGTGAATAAAATACACATGCATAAATATAAACCACAAAAAAAGAATAAATTGTATGTACAGGTGTACTATAGATAGAATAGGAATAGAATAAAATAAAATAAAGTTGTGGGGATGTACTAAGATTTAGGGTGATAATCACAGGGTGCACATCACAGAGGATCTCACCTGGACCACCAACACCATGGATGTCTGATTTGGTAGCTGAACCAAACCAGATAGTTATGGATGAACACAGGACAGACTCAATGATAGCAGAGTAGAACTGTTTCAGCAGCTCCTGTGGCAGGCTGAATTTCCTCAGCTGGCGAAGGAAGTACAACCTCTGCTGGGCCTTTTTAACAGTGGAGTCAATGTGAGTGTCCCACTTCAGGTCCTGAGAGAGGACCTGTGATGAAAAAACTGTAAAGTTTGTGCTGCTGCTTCAACCCAGCAGCAAAGACTTCAAGATGTCCAACATCATTTACCTATGGTGTGACATATGAAAGACAAAGAAACATTTAGTCCTTAACAATTCGTCCAGCCATTGATCTCATTTTTGATATTTACTCCCAGTGGCCATTGCTTTTCATCACAAACATTTCCATCTCTTATACTCATGTCTATATATACACTTACAGCTTTCAGTGTCTCAGAAGGGTGATGCTCATCTTGGGTCAGTTTTCTCCAAATTATTTGTCATACAGAGAAGTGAAGCTGATCTATAATAGGCAGTCTGGTCTATTGTTACAGTGATTTGATGCTTACTCTCTAGATACTGCGTATCTGCACACGTTACACCCCCGACCAGGACACAATGACGTTCTCTGACGGTCTCACGCTGAACC